TTATGACTCAACTACTGTANTTCAGTAAATTACGCATGAATTGTCTGTGGACTTTCGAATTCTTTAGAAAGAGATAAGAGATCATTCGGGAATCTAAGATGACTTAGATGGGAGTTTCGCTTGGTCACCGAGATACTTCATAAGAGAAGAGTGGTATGAAGTGTTACTTTATTGCATATAACTGTATATTGGAAACTGTAAGTATCTTACTGGGTGTTTTTCAAAATACTCACTCTTACAATTTTTACAGACTAGTTCGGGTCGATTGGATCTGTGGCGGGATGGTGCAGCGGACTGCCAATAGATTTCCACCTACGAGAATAATATTAAGTTTTACTACTTTTTATCTTAAAATTTATTAGTTTGCTTTGTCCAATAACAGTAGTTGAGAATGTTTAAATTGTTTTTAAAGACATGATTTATGATTCGAATTTAAATTATGAATGTTTTGTTTATTTAGAAAAAGAATGAATTTTATAGTTCCTCATTTTAAGTACATAAAAATTATTGTTGGTAACACCTCAAGATGTTTGAAATTTAGGGGCGTTACAACCGAGGTTGCATATAATCTGGAGTTGAATGAACAGAAAAAAGGAAAAAGGAAGGGACTGAATCTAAGTTATAAAAGAATGAAGAAAGGTCCATATTGGACATATTTACAGGATTTAATGGGTCGGTGGCTAGCAAGTAGCAGCTAGTTGAACGAAGGGGAGTAGATGGAGCTCCAAGTTGTGGAAAGTATGCTCTCAACCACAATTGAGCAAGCCAAATGGGCCAACTGCCAGTAGGAGATGCATCATTCTTTAATTGAAATTGAATGGAAGCCATGCCTTTATAAAATGCGCTAAAAAGAAATAACATAAATTCAAAGGCCTATCATGCGCCATTTCATGCGCTATGGGTAAGTAGCTCATAGAAGGCTTCATATTGGGCACACAAAGAATATATTTATAGAGCCAAACTTGAAGAAAAGCCACATGCTCAGCATGGGAAGGTTAAGTGCTAGAATGACTATAAATGCCTTGCATGCCTGAATAGGACTCACTGAGTTTTTTTGTCAAACTTAAGGGCCACGCCGACAATCAAAATTCCAGGAAAGATGTTATCGCCCAAGGGCGGAAGATTTACTAAGGCTCCAACGTCCCTTAAGGTAATAGACATTGGACTAAACAGGAAAGCAAATGTATTATATTCAGAAGACCAAAAACACAAAACAATAGGAAAAAGTATTGGGTCAAAAATTGGGGGCTAAAGAACAATTTTTAAAAATCTGAAATCGTAGCGCGATCAAAAATCGCCTTAGTAGGGCCATGATTTACCAAAAGTGCATACCATCTACGAAAAATAACATCAGTTTTGGACCAAGCGCGAATACCTTTCTCGCGAATCGGCCTCAGTAGCAAAGAGTTCAGAAACGGTGGGCCTTGAGTACAAGGGAACAGCTGACTTACCGCTGCTTGTCTGATAGATTCAACATCATTAAAATGATGGACCTAGATAAAATTCATGGAGGTCAGGGTTGGCTGATGAAAGAAAGTTTGAGTTTATATATGGCATGGTGAGGAGGTTTTGAAAATCCTCGAAATTAAGTGAGTTGTTAGAAGGAGTTTGCGAAATCGCCATTTGATGTGAAGTACAGTCCCTGTGAGATTTGCTTAAGAAACGTAGCAGGAAAGCAAGAAGATAAACGGTAAATAGTGAAAAAGAAGCACGAAATATAGAAACGTGGGTTAATGGCGCGATGAAGTGGCATGTCTTTGGAGTTATAGGGTTGTAATGTTACACTTTTCAGGTTGAAACCAAACGGAAATAATGATTGAAATTCTTGAGAACGTCAAGTATTGCCGGAAAATACAAAGGAAGAATATGGCAAAAATTAATAATTGATATTAATTCTGCCATATTGGGGGATAATTGTTGACATACAAAAAATAAGGCCCAATGGTCAAATGAGGTCCAATTATTAAGTCGGGCCCGATTATAGAGTACAAGAAATGGAGCCCGTTAGGGAAATTAAGGAATGGGCCCAAATAAGACCATTGTAAAATATAATGACAGCCCACGAGTAGAGAACTATCATTGCCCAAGCTTGCAGAATGCCCCGGATCTGAGCGAATGAAGTATCCCAATGTCACTCAGAGCGATGGTCTCACTCTCGTCCAAGCCTTCGAGACGCCCAAAGTCTAGATGAATATAGCGTTTTCTTCAGTTATTGAAGTGGTTATGAAGCAACCTTATCACGTTCCACGATTCAAGAATCTCGGTTACAAGTTATTAAACAACAAGAGCATTAACAACAGCTGCTAACGGCAGTTTCTTGACAAGTGAGCCATCACGAAGAAAGTGAGCAGTTTCCAAGCAATTTTTTAAGATGAATTCAGCAAATGAGTATAAAAAGGAAAAGAAGACATAGAAGAAAAGAGTCCGAACCAAACACTTTCAACGGAGAATATGTAATTTCAATTTATTTACTTTCCTATTTGTAAATTTTCAATTTACTTCGTGTGCTTGTACTTCTTGGAGGCGTTTTGCTTCTTTCCAATTGTAATCTTCATAAATAAAGCACCCATTTTTGGGATTTCATCTCAAGAGGTTTGCTCCTTATACAATCGTCTGATCCTTTCTTTTAATTGTTAGCGATAACTCGTGCGAAACAAATTCATTTTAATTCTTTGGACACATGTATTAACTGTGTATATTTTTCTCATCAAATTGTTAATGGCAAGACTCGAGTCGGGGATTGGTGCTCATACCATATTAATCATATCAATTAGACCATCTCCAATGTAAATTCAGTGTAACTTCTCCGATGGTTACATCAAATTTGGTGTAATTGAATAGCGTTACACCAAGTTTTATATCATATTTTAAGCTATATTTGGTCCCTCGTCGAAGAGCATTTTACACCTTACACTAACTTTGGTCCGGCTTGTTTGTTTTCCATTTTTATAGTGAGAATGTATTTTGAAACAATAGATTGATGAAGAATATGTGATTAAAAAATAACGAAAAATTTTGAATTTGTGTATAATATTATTTTATTGAATAATGAGTGGTTGAAAAGAAGAGAGAAAAAATATATTTTAAAAAAAGGATATCAAACGAGGGCTTAAATAGTTAAAAAGAGGAATCACGTGTATTCATCTAAATTATGGTCCTGTTTGGGAGAGATTAAATTTTTCTACAGTAAATCAATTCTCATTTTCAACCATACATTTTTCAATAAAATAATATTTTCCATCACATCAATAATTTTTTCTTCCTTTTCAACCACACATTTTCCATCAATCTACTATTTCAAAATACATTCTTNACAGCCAAGTAACGATTATATGAAACAATCGTGTTACAAATTATTTGACAAATAAGCAATATCCAAATGTGGAGGAATAATGTAAGAGTAATGTTATTCATCCCCAGTAGGGATGAAAACACAGTCTAGGTGGCTGTAAATGATAGGTGAAATGAAAGGTGAAATTAAATGACTTATTTAATTTCACCTATCATTTAATGCCACATTAGCGCCACCTACACTGTGTTTTCATCCACAGTGGGGATGAATAACATTAATCATAATGTAATTTGTAACTATGCCCCTTTTTGATACACATTAAAATTTTTATTCTCATTTTTTACTTATTTTCAACCACACATTTTTCAATAAAATAATATTTTCCATCACATCAATAACTTTTCCTTCTTTTTCAACTACAAATTCTCTATCAATCTACTATTCCAGAATACATTCTTCTAAAATAATGTAGCACAAACACACCATAAATTAAAATTAAGTGATTCAATTGAGATAAATTAAAAGTCATTGAATTCCATTGAAAGTTTAATGACCGCAAATGAAATTAACATCTGTCGAGTGAATCGGGTATATTTTGATTTTTTTTTTTTAATTGTGGACGTTTGGACCATTTTGCATGCACCTCGACTAATCCCATGATGCCCTGAAGTTTACGGTCAAGTACTCACCTCAATGGCCTTGGGAAAACTTGAACTGATGACCATCAAGAGCAAACACAAGACCAATAAGTATATTTTGATTTTGACCCAATGAAGTAAATTTAATCTGGCTAGATCTCATTCTCAAGCTTGGAAACGGGAAAAACGGGGTCATATACAACCCATGCTTGATAACCTTTAAAACAAAACTCTTTAAATTTTTTATTCAATTTAAACCATAATTTACTCAACAAAAAATTTTGTATGTAAACCTAAAATTTTTCCTTAATTTTTCACCACACATTCTTCGAAAAATCACTATTCAAAACTCCATTTTTCCGAAATAATGACCATCAAGCAAGGACACAATTACATATTTAAAAACCAGACAATTACATATTTAAAAACCGGACTTTATATGCTAAGAGGGTGTTTGAGTCCCCTTTTTTTTTTTTGAAAAATTATTTTGCAATAGTAAATTGATGGAGAATGTGTGGTTAAAAAAGAAAGAATTTTTGTTTATTTACATATAATATTATTTTAATAAAGAATGTGGGGTTGAAAAGAAGAAAGAGAAAAATGTATTTTGAAAAAAAAATGAAAACCAAACAAAGCCTAAAAATTAGAAAGTGATACTATTTTTACTCTGCAGTGTGAGGAAGCCATTTTTAAAAAATTGCCATTCAGTGTTAGAATTCCAAGTGCAGCTCCTGCAGCAGGGAACAGACTTGGAATGCAGGATATGCAACTTGAATAATCCTCAGCCATATCCCTGAACTAAACTAGTTTTTTATCCTAAATCTTACGCATTTGGAAACAATTTGTCACTTGTACACTGGTTCAAAACACTCGTTTGATTTCCACAAAAACCCAACTCACCAAACCAGAATCCTGAACTTTTAGCAGCCAAATAGCAACCCGTGAGGTTAATTCCCTGATGCTTCATAGAAACTCCGTATGTCGAAGCAATTATGAAAAGAACGGGGAACCAATGCTGCAGAATAACTGAGAGGAAAATGACCACTTGAAACAGACAAACTTTGAAAATGTCAGCAGTGTCTCCAGTCATCACCAACATAAATAGCTTGGTCTCCAAGCTCTTCTTCAATTCTAAGCAACTGCAAATTAATTTATGCAGTTAGTTTACAATTAACCCAATTTAAAGCAAGCACATGTCGGGAAACAAAAGAACAAGATTTGCAGTTTATACCAAATGAGCACATATAATCATATCCTTGTTCAGAAATTTGAAAGGGGGCACTAGGAAAACATATAGAGATATGATGGTCAGTTACGCTGTGGGCACTAGTTTCACATTTCAGCTATTTACTTTATCTACTTAGCCCCTGTTTGGCACCTATTCTCATCTCATTCTCATTTTTTTTTCTTTCTTCATTTCAACCATACATTCTCACAATAAAATAATATTACACACAAATCTAAAAAATTTCATAACTTTTCCACCACACATTCTCCTATCAATTATTATTCGAAAAATTCTATTATCTAAAAAATGGGTGTCAGTTTTATATGAAGTTTATGAAAAAAAATTCCGAAGAAATGGAGTTGAATCAACAGCAATGCAAGAGACTATAAAAATTCTCTCCATGGAATCAATTTCTAAGAGCTAGTTTTCAGAGTCACAACTTATAACTAAGTTTGAGGCTAACAAGACATATTCCATAGACAAGCTAACAAATAATTTTTCAGGTGAAATCTTTTGATAAGAAGTGGTTATTTGTTATGTTATCGTAACTTAAGTTGCAATTTGTATTACCACAGCCAACAAAATAAAGGGATTCATCAAAAAATGCACATAATAGATATAAAAAAAAAACTTCAACATGTTCGTTCAACTTTTCTAATATTATATTGATTTTTTATATTCCAAAATTTATAAAATGGAGCCTGTCAAGGCCTGAACGTGTCTGAGGCGTGTTGGAGGACATGTCCATCGCATATCAAATCTTAAAAAATATAATAAAACAGGATATGTCACATAGCGCTTATAGGACCCTACTAGTATTATCCCTTCACAAGATTCAGATTTTGAAAAACCTAAATTACAAATTCGCGAACTAAAATGTAAGATATAAACCTGATTGTACTTCGCTAGCCGCTCTCCACGGCAAGGTGCACCAGCATTAATCTGACCAGTGGCAAGACCAACAGACAAATCAGCTATGAAAGAATCTTCAGTCTCTCCACTTCTTTGAGATATCACCACACCCCAGTTGGCATCCTTTGCTAACTTGACCACTTCGATGGCTTCAGTCACAGTCCCCACCTGATTAACCTGAATTCCAGTTCTTCCATTACAGATAGCATAGAAACACACTTAATATATCATAAATGGTAAGCTGAAATTGTCATAAAGCATGTAGAAAACGTATAGCAACCATTCTTAACAAATAATCTACACTAGTTAAAACAAGAAGTACAGATCATGACCTGCAGAAGTAAACAGAAAACCAACAAGCTGTGTCAATTTAAGCAATAATAAGAGTAAACTCAAATACAGTATAAATTTGTTTGTGGAGTCATCCTATGCTATAAGCAAAAGTGCGAAAACTAATAACGTTGCAATTGGATTAGCAAACAAAGGTGCTCAAGTAGGAGTAGGACATCTGTTTCCTATCATAGCTAAAGAAGCGCTTATCAGGTTTCCACTGTCAGTCAGTGAAATTGGTTATTTTGTGCAGTTACTCGAAAATGCTGCTTACATTGACATTTATATTCAGTGCACCAAAGCTTGAATGACATAAGAATATTGAATTCAGTAGTCAAAACCTTAAATCCAGCTTAAAGAACAAATGGAACAAACAAAATTAATAATTGATTAGTAAAATGCCCTACAGTATTTTTTGTTTTCACTTAGGCCCCGTTTGATAGCAACTATTTTCCAGGCAAGATGGAAATTATTTCATCATTTTCCATCTTTGGGCTTGTTTGATTGCAAATATTTTCCGGGCAATTTGTTTTCTCATTTATGGTCACGTGATGGGTTTTTCCACAAAATTAAGGAATTGATTTTCCCATGGTAGAGGTGGGTTTTCATTTTCTTGGCAATCGGCAAAACAAACCCTCTCCTTTCTCTTTCTTCTCACAACGTCATTGCCAGTGTCGGGGTCACCGCCAGGTTCCAAGAAATGTCATTGCTCTTCTGCCACCTCCCCAGTTCAGTTCTCCTACTCGCCGCCGAAAAGTCTTATCGATCAACTAGGAGGCTGAGAGGAAGTTGAGGGGAGTGAAGTCGTAGTGACGGTTTGGGAGGGAATCGACGTCGTATGGGTCGCCCTCTAATTCTTCATATTCTTGGTTGGTGAAATTCAGTTGTTGTGCGATGGTGGAAGAGGCAGAAGAATGAGTGGAAAAGAGTGGAGTTCGAAGGAGAAGAAGATGGTTCTGGTGGCGGCGGAGGGAAATCTGGTGCTAAAGGAGAAGAAGATGGTGCTGGTGGTGGCGGAGGGAAATCTGGTGTTGCTTGTGGAGTTAATGGCGGATTATGGGTCGAATATGGTGGATAAATCGGCTTTTGTTTTGAATTGCTGGTGGAGTTAATGGCGGCTTTACTGGTATCAACGCCGGAAGCCAGGGCGGCAGTAGTGGAGGAAGGCGGGATTCCGATGTGGAAATAGTGGAGGTGGGAACTCAATGGCAGAAGGAGATTGGAGTAAAAAAAGGTGGAAAATTAAAGCTAATCAAACATCAAAAGATGGAAAATTTCAACATTTTCCAAGTGGAAAATTATACCAATCAAACACAAGTAATTGACAATTCCCTGTAAAATGAATTCTAGGCAATTCAATTCCCTGAAATTCATTTTCTTTCCACCCAAATTCCATCATTGCAACCAAACGGACCCTTATTATCTTTACATAGAAATACATCTGGAATTAGCAGAATGCAGTAAAAAATGGATCCACTTTACTCGCTTAGTATTTGACTTGCAAAAGCAGGTACCTTTAGATTAAGTGCATTACAAGCTGCCTCCTCCACAGCTCTCTCTACTCGTTTAGGATTTGACATCAAGAAGTCATCTCCCACAACCTGCAATTAGAAGCGTTCTAAACAGTTAACAGAGCAGGATTATGATAGGACCCAGATCAATTTACATATATTGAAATTGATATTCAACAACAGGAAGACAAATTGTATCTATATTTGTATATATAAAACTGAATTAAATGAAAATGAACTCAGATTCCTAGGCATTCGAGAGGCCTGGGCTCTCCCAAAACCAATGCTCAATTTCTGCTTGAATGAAAATGAAACCCTCCCCTATTTATACTGAGAAGAGTATACAATTCATTCTACTAACTTCCCATAATACCACCCCTCCCCTACTTTTACCTAACAAACAAGTAACCTATCATATTACTGCAGAATGCACATGCCTGTGTATGTGTTTGAAGGGGGAAGGGTGGTCAAATGGCTGAAATTTTGTCGTTTCTTTACTTGAGGTGATTCATCACCCAAACCTAAACTGTTTTTTCACCCAACAAATTTAACAAACTCAATACATCAAGTGCAAGGCATTGACAGGTGCATTGCATTAGCATCTTTCCAAGTACTGTTGATATTCTGCTTTTCCTTAGCAGAGTTATCGAATGAAGACAAAGTCTTTCCTACCACAATTATTTCTTTCACTTTGTTTTGAGCAGACAGCTTAAAGTTCCCGAGAGTTCATTTTAATTAGAGGTTATTCTTGAACTGTAGCTGCAGATAGCTATACACTCCAAGCCTCATCTGGTGATCATTCTGTGGCAGAATCTTCAGTAGGGTGGAAGTTGCAAGTAAAAAGTCATCAATAGAGTAACAGGCAAACCTGGCATATTCCAAGACCAGAAAAATGCTTGACATGTTTCCAATCCTCCTTGTCAAATGGATCTTCAATTGATACGACAGGGTATTCTGCCAGAGCCCCCAGATATGGGGAGAAGAGAAATGAGAAATTGGAATAGAACGGGGGAAAAAAAATCAATTTCTTCAGGCCGGCAGCTTTTGCATTCAAGGACGGGGAAAGAACTATCAAAGAAATGTAATTAGCAATTAAGGGCATGTTTGATAGAAAATTGAAAAACTAGCCGTTATTGTTGACTTTTATTAGCCGAGTAGGATCCAATAACGGCTATATTTTCAATTTTAATAGGATTTTAATCACTCCCAAACATGCTCTAAGATACCTTCGCAGAGTTCTTTGTACATATCAATCATATCCTCTCCTGACTTAAAATTTTGACCTGATTTATTTGGAGATTTATGATCCAAATCATACTTAGTACCTAAATAAGGGAACAAAAGAATCAGTTCCTCTAGAACAAATGAGAAGATAATAAATAGAAGTACACACGATAAGATAAATTGAGACACTTAAAGTTGGATGAAGAATATGATCCCTTCAAACGGGTGGGAACAATGGCTCAAGTGACCCAGCTGGCAACAAAGACACCCTTAAATTGGAACACTTTTTAAGGCAACAGGCAATTCCTCTGCACTTCAAAGAATAATAAAGAAATATCGACTGGAAGTAAATGTTGGGTACACCGAGGTTACAACTCAAATTCACAACCAATTTCATAAGCTAAGAAATAACACTTCAAATATAGATAAACCCAGTCAATAAGTAAAACTCAGCCAAGTAATTTTATATATCTATAGACCCAAAAAGGCCTGAAGCTTATGAAACATATACAAAAGAAAAATCTTTAATATCACTGTCCTATGTGTAATTATCACCATGGTCAAGAAACATTGTTGATCGGACTAAAGCACCAGTGATCCTAATCAAGTTCAGAAAATGCCCAGCTCCGTTGCTCCCATGTCTGTCTCACCGTCTCTTGCCTGGTCATGAATTCAGTTTGTCATTTATGCTGATCAAGATTTCATGCTAACATGATCCTTTATGGCATTGAAGCTGATACTTTTAGGTAGGTTTATTCTAAAAATCGAGAAGTCAGAGGATGCTATTTAAGTTGGAAACAGCTCCATTGCTGTATGTAATGAATGCTTACACATGCACAAGATAGCAAGCTTCACTGCAACAAAGCTAACAGCAGAGCCTTTATTTCATTCCTAGAAATCATTCCATCTATTTCATAGTCATAAGTCATTAACATTCTCAAGCCATGTCCAGGATAGGGATGAAGACATTGAGAAAACAGATGGCATAATGGAATCTAATCACAGTATTGTAACTTCATTACATTGATTTTTCAGAAGATTCCGTCTCAACCTTATCAAAAATTCCTAATTTCAGAAAGTCAACCTTCACCTAGGGATGGCAAAAAAACTCGTCAGCTCGGGCTCGGCTAGGGGAAAAGCTTGAGTCGGGCCCGAGTTGGGCTCGGGCCGAGCCTCATTTTTTTGGCCTGACTTTGCTCGGCTAGGCTCAGGCTCAAAAAAGCTCGAGCCGAGCCCGAACTTTTTTATTTAATTTATAGTACGTATAAACCGTACAAATTTTAAATTTTTTAAGTAAACATGTAGATTTGACATTAAAAAAGAAAACCCCGAACGGCTCGGTCTGGGCCGAGCCTCATTTTTTTTGGCTGAGCTCTGCTCGACTCGGCTCGGCTCGGGCCCAAAAAAGTTCAGCCTAAAAAAGCTCGAGCCCGAGCTTTTTTTTTCGGCACAGCTCGTTGACATAGCTACCTTCACCTATCCTAATTTTGTAAAGGAACACGTTAAGCCATTAAAATGAGCCAACAATTATAATACATGACTGTACTTCAATATAAAGAACATGGAATTGCAGGAAATGTTTGTCAATGTTTATGCTATCGACTTCAGATGGGGAAATATAAGAAGATCATCAAACATGCATCATAATTCCATTTCAATGTCTGAATTGTGAATCAAGAACGTATCATAGAAGCATGAACTGACATGGTATGAAAGAGTTTTAGCATGAACTGACATGGTATGGAAGAGTTTTAGCATGGACTGACATGGTGTAAAAGAGTTTGTGTTTTATTAATAATAAAAATAATAATATTTTAGAACAACTAGCAATAGTTTTGTAATTATAGCCAAAAGGCAGGCCTTGATTGCATGGTTTGAGAACTGTTTGGGAGTTTTAGACAATCATAAATTTCAAGAGTTTTTCTAGAGAAGGAAACTTATTTGTGGGATTCTGATAGTTTCCCAGTGTTTCTTAACTCATGATACTTATAAAACAAACAGATTTTCTTTTTTGTACACGTGGCCGTTAAATTAATCCAGTTGGCCGAGTTAATTGTTTCAACGGTCATTGAACTTTATAAAGTGTCACGTTTCACTAACTGAACTTTAAGTTGTATCCCATCACTCACTGAACTTAGTAAAGTTGCACTCCATCCATCACCAGGTTAATTCCGTTAAAATCGATTGCCTACGTAGATGACGGTTTGCACACGTGGCCGTTAAATTAATCCAGTGGCCATTAATCAACCATGTCATAAATTCTCAACACTCAAACACGTCTCACTCAATTTGATCTCTGAAATCAGCCTTTTCGGCAGTCGCCTCCGTCACAAGTGGAGCTGGAGCCGACATCTTGGATTCGACATCATGGACCATGAATTCGAGTTTCTCATCCCATTGAGGGTTGATATCCTAAAAAATGGTCTTGG